TAGAGAAGGGTCTATTCAGGTCCTTCACCCATTTTTAAGTTGGTTTTTTGGTCTTTTTGGTGTTGAGTTGTATACATTCTTTATATATTTTGGAAGTTAACTCCTTATCAGATGTATCATTGGAGGATGTATTTTCCCTTTTTGTGTTGTTGATGGTTTCTTTTTCTATGCAGAAGCTTTTTAGTTTGATGTAGTCCCATTTCTTTATTTTTTTCTTTGTTTCCCTTGTCCCAGGAGATATATCAGAAAAAATATCCCTATGAGAGATGTCCAAGATTTTACTACTTATGTTTTCTTCTAGGATTTTTATGGTTTCATGACCTTCATTTAAATCTTTAATCTATTTTGAGTTTATTCTTTTGTGCAGTATAAGCTGGTTGTCTAGTTTCTTTTATTTTTCTTTCTTTAATTCCTTTTTTTTGGCATGTATTTGTCCAATTTTCCCAGCACCATTTATTGAAGAGACTGTCTTTACCCCATTGTATGATCTTGTCTCCTTTGTCAAATATTAATTAGGCATGTATGGTTTATATCTGGGCTTTCTCGCTCTCTCTCTCCCTGTCACTTCCTCTCTCTCTCTCTCTCTCTTTTGATCCTCACCCAAGAATATATTTTCCATTGACTTTTAGACAGAGTGGAAGAGAGAGAAAAAGACAGAGAAATATTGATGTGAGAGAAACACATCAATTGGTTGCCTTCTGCAGTTGGGGCCCGGGACAGGAGGAGCCTGCAACCAAGGTACATGCCTTTGACTGAAATCAAACCTGGGACATTCAGACCGCAGGCTGATGCTCTACCCACTGAGCCAAACTGGCTAGGGCTGAGCTCCTGTTTTGTTCCATTAATTTATATTTCTGTTCCCGTGCCAATACCATGCTATTTTGATTACTTATGGCCTTATAGTATAGTTTCATATTAGATATGGTGATACCTCCAAATTGGTTTTTCTTAAGATTGCTGAGGCTATGCAAGGTCTTTTGTGGTCCCATATAAATTTTTGGAATATTTGTTTTAGATTTGTGAAATATCCCATTGGTATTTTAATAAGAATTACATTGAATCTGCCGAAACCGGTTTGGCTCAGTGGATAGAGCGTTGGCCTGCAGACTGAAAGGTCCCAGGTTCAATTCCAGTCAAGGGCATGTGCCTGGGTTGAGGGCACATCCCCAGTAAGAGATGTGCAGGAGGCAGCTGATCAATGTTGTTCTCTCATCAATGTTTCTAACTCTCTATCTCTCTCCCTTCCTCTCTGTAAAAAATCAATAAAATATATTTAAAATAAAATAAAATCAATAACATTTTTATACCATTCATGCCTTTCTTGATTATTAACTTTTCTTCCAGATTTATTAGCATTTCTGCAATGATAACCTTATATATGAATGTGTGTTAGTAGTAGCCCTACTCTAAGACACCATCTGCCACTACTGGGTTCAATAGTGGTCAAGTGTTCTCTAGTGACAAAGTCCTCTATTGAGAATGCTTTGACAATCACAATTCTTTAGAGTATGGTTTTTGATTTTCATGTGGGAGTCTTTTCCAACATGAGAAAAAGTATTCAAATGAAATAATAGAGATGGAGAGGAACAAAATATTTCTTTACTATTTCATTAGTTTCCAAATAAATATGTCAAGTATATTTTGTGAGAAATCTCAAAGACTTTTTTCTTTCTAATGTACAGTTTGCTTCTCCATTCACTGATAAGGTGATTAAAAACAGTTCTTGAATAACCTGGGAGGAAGTGAAACAGATTTTATATGTCAAATGGGCCCATTTGAAGTTTCTTTGAGATAAATAAATCTCACAGTGTTTACTACACCACAAATAATTATCACCAAAGTTAGAACCTGCTTTATTTTTTATGGTCAAGAGCAAGAGAGGAGGAGGCTCAAGAAAAGTTATTTTATTTATCAAGAGAAAGCAGATATTCAGGTCTCCTGGGTATGGGCTAAGAGAAAGGTAGAAAGGTTTCACAGTAGTGAGATTCAGAAGTCGAAGGTCAAGGCAGAAATGAGTCAAGAATAAATTCTGGACCCAAGAGAGAACAGGTCTTTTTAAAATTATTAATTACATATTTTTATTGATTTCAGAGAGGAAGGAAGAGGGAGAAAGATAGAAATATCAATGATGAGAGAGAATCATTGGTCTGCTGCCTCCTGCATGCCCCACACTGGGGATGAGCCTGCAACCCAAGCATATGCCCTGCCCTGGAATAGACCATGACCTCCTGGTTCATAGGTTGATGCTCAACCACTGAGCCACACTGGCCAGGTGGGAGAACAGGTTTTGCTCAATATGCACACCCTTCACCATAAAAGTTAATGTTCATTTAGATATTTAAAATGTTGCTAAACATTTAAAGGTCCCCCTAGGTTTCTATTTACCCCATATATTTATCTTTAACTACCAGCAGTCAGAAATTTTAGAAAATATCAAAATAACCTCCAAACTTCCTCAGGATTATTAAAATTAAGGCGAAGTAGACAGCCAATTGGTCAACAAATATCTATAGGTCATTATCATGGTCACTGTTCTAGGTGCTTGTGATTCACTGATATAGAAAAGAAGTAGAATATCTGTCCTAGAATACAGAGGTTAAATTTCAAGGAGGGAAGAGCAAATATAAATGTGTAGGCCTATGTAACAAATGAATATGAGCAACCGGTAATTCAACACTGCCTTTACTGGGCTTGCATACAGAGAAGACAGTGGTGGTAGTTGGAAATAAGTCCACTTGGCCCAAATTGATGGAGTTTAAGCTCTATAGTAAAAGAATGGATGAATACTAATCCTTCTTTCTTCACAGTGAATTTTCATTTTATACATGGCAAAACTGACAAAAGGCTGTCTGAACTACGCACATATAATTCAGGTTTAACCTGCTTCAGTGAAGGGACAAGCATGACAGGTAAGATGTTGCCATTATTTTTTAAAAAAGGATTTTAGGCAGAGGGAGGGAGGGAGGGAGGGAGGGAAGGAGGGAGGGAAGGATGGTGAGAGAGAGGGAGGGTGAGAGAGAGGGAGAAAGAGGGAGAGAGGAAGAAAGAGAGACATCAATGTGTGAGAGAAACATTGACTGATTGCCTCCTGCACACTCTCCAACCAGAGATCAAACCCACAACCTGAGTATGTGCCCTGACTGGGAATAGAACCTTTTTGTGCACAAGATAACATTCCAACCAACTGAGCCATACTAGCCAGGGCATGTACTGTAATTCTGAACCAGACTGTCTCTTTTCTCAGAGGTCTGAGGGGAGCTCAAGATTGGTTTATTCTAGTTTTTAAAAATAGTCTCTGCTTGGATATATATCAACTTACATGATCATATCAGGCTCTAGATTTTCCCTTAAAACAATGCCTTTTCCAGACTTCCAGACAAATGCTACCGACATCCACATAATTTGCTCAAGCCAACTGTGGAAATATTTCATAAAAATTCTGCTTTCAAATTATTCTTACTTTTATCAAATGGAAAAAAATATCTTTTGGTATTTAAGGTTCTAATTAAAAATACTTATCTCCATTCCAAGTAACAACGTTATCACTGGCTAATTTTGATGTTGGACCATGAGTCAGGATGAGACTGTCCTCACTTTAAAACTGTGTAAATGTACCATAGCTGTTTTACCCACTTTACTGATAGACACTTGGGCTGCTTCCAAATCTTGGCTAATGCTGCAAAGCACATAGAGGTGCATATATTCTTTTGAATTAGTGTTTTGGGCTTCTTTGTATAAATTCCCAGAAGTGGAGTTCCTGGGTCATAAGGCCGTTACATTTCTTTCTTATTTTTTTTTTTGTTTGTTTGAATAGTATTTATTGATTGCTATTTTTTTACTTTGTATTTTTTTAAAATTAAATTTATCGATGTGATACTGGTTAATAGTGTCATATGGGGTTCAAGTGTACATTTCTATGATACATGATTTGTATATTGCATTGTAAACACAATATTTCCACTTTGATTAATGTTAAAAATTAATTGAAAGCCACATGGTATCTTCTCCAATTTATTTTCCACTCAGTTTGACTCAGAGTTTAAAAACAAAAGTTACTTTTATTTTTTAAAAAATATTTTTATTGATTTCAGAGAAGAAGTGAAAGGGAGAGAGATATAAACATCAATGTGTAGGGTTGTGTAACAGATGAATACAAGCAACCACTGATCAGCGAACCACTGATCAGTTGACTCCTGCACGCCCTGCTCTGGAGGATTGAGACCACAACTCAGGCATGTGCATGTGCCCTGACGGGGAATCAAACAGTGACTTCCTGGTTTATAGGCTGATGCTCAACCACTTAGCCAGACCCACCAGACTCTTATAAGTTTTGTTTTGTTTTAAACTTATCTATTAGCAACTAAATACCATTCAAAAGTTTATCCCACCCTGATCATTTACTTTAAAAACTGCCTGCTTGGGTTAGTTTCTATGTATTAGGTAGATCTGCTATGACCCTTTTTAGAGGGTCTCTAGTGCAGGCCCATGTCAGATTCTGTTTGTGACTGACCTTGAGTAGGTGGTTTGGAGCTAGCAGCGATCCACAGCTTGTGGCTCCCTCTGCTGGGGCTGAGTGCATTTGGACAGGACCAAAATGTGCACCAAGTTCTGCTTTTCCTAGCCCCAGGCCCAGAAGCAGATCAGGCAAAGACTTGAAGCATCCAGAGGTCTGCCTCTGCCTGAAGGTTGATTGTTATTAACAGTCACTTAATGAGCCTTAATTGTTATTCACAGTCACTTAATGAGCCTTAGGCTGTAGACCAAGCAAGCCATAAACTCCACAGGGTGGGGTGAGAGGTTTTCCAATGGGTGGGAGCCATTGTCTCCCTCCACCCCCACCCCCAGGCAAAAGTAATAAAGAACAAAATAATGAATGATGAAGGTCTGCCTGAGAAAGATGTCTTTTGCAGTAGCGGGGAATGACTCAACAGAGCCACTAACCCTGGATTCTCCTCACATAGCTCTAGTCCACTCTGCCTTCCCTCTGTCTGAGCCCAAGGTGAGTGGCTGCACATGAAATTTTGTGTGTGGCCCTTAGAGAGAGTGCCTGTATTTCCAGTAGTCTCCCCCTGTCTAACAGAAACCCTGCTGCTTTTCACAGCCAGACTTTACGTGGTCACCTTTCTCAGTTCTGTGTTCTGGGCTGGGGAGCCCAGCTTGGGGTTTAGAACCTCGACTTCTCAGAGGGAATCCTGGCAGCTGAGATATCCCTCTGGAACTTCATCTGCTGCCTGTGAGAGCTCGGCCAGCCTTCTAGGGCCGTCATATTTCCTACCAGTCTTGATGGGGGCTCCTCTTTGCAACCTCGGTTATAGGGGTTGTCTCCAGCTAATCTTCAGTTGGTTATTCAGGATGATTTTTCTATATTTTGGTTGTAATTCCAGTTTGGTCCTAGAAGAGTGTCAGTGTAACTTCCACATAACCCAACACCATCTTGGAATCCCCTTAATTAAACTTGTTTTATCTATTCCTTTTCTGACACCAATCTGGAAAGGAAAAGAAAGTCTTCATATGTTGCTGCCTAATGCAGGTAGACTTCATATTATGGAACCTGGGGCTGAGGGTCTGGCATGGGGTTTAGACCCCTTTCTTCTCATGGGAGCTCTGTGCAGTTGAGATATCCCCCCAGATTGAAAAACAATAAAAAACAAAACAAAACAAAAAAAACAATGAGTCAAAAAGAAAACATATTGAACCTATGTGATCTTCTTCTCAACACAGAGAAATACTGGAGCTGCTGTCCAAAGAATTGGAAGCCATTTAGTTTGAACTGCTACTTTATTTCTACTGACACCAACAATTGGACAGAAAGTAAAAAGAACTGCTTGGGAATGAAGGCTCACCTGCTGGTGATCAACTCCAAGGAAGAACAGGTACATTCGATAGATATTGGAGCCAAAAATTCTGCCTGGGTTTTGTACTCTTGGAGAAGGAGGAGGTGTTCATTGTTGTGAGATATTGGTGCTGTGGCAAAAGGCTTTCAATGACATAGGCTACGTAAGCCTTTACATTTCATACCTTTTTTCTATTTCCACAAAACTAAACTCCTCCAACATACATAAGGACATTTAAATTGTAATATGTGGAGGTTGATGGGACGATGAAAATATTTCAGCCTGATATATCAGTTTATTATTTCAACATGTAAATGTTTTATGAATTGTTAAGTAACCGATGTAGTATTAAGTCAAATGGGGAAATGAAGTAAAAGAATCTTTGATGTTGTGAAAGGAAAAAGATTTAATGTGAAGAAGTTTACTCGTGTATAACTTCAAAAAATACCCTCTCTTAGTGAAGGAAAGAGGGAGAGAGTCTACGATGAGAATTCACTGCAATTATGAATAGAAATCACTTCCATATGTATTGGACATTGCTATGTTCTGACTGTGTGTGTCCTCTCCAAATTTACATGTTGAAATTCTAACTCCCAAAGGCGATGGTTTTAGGAATTGGGGGTTTGGGGCGGTGCATAGGCCATTAGGGTGGAGCCCTCATAAATCAGGTTAGTGTTCTTATAAAAGCGACTTCAAACAGTTGCCCCGCCTTCCACCATGTGAGGACACAGCCTGAAGGAGCCAGCTATGACTCTGGAAGAGGGATTTGCACAATCATGCTCCAACCCTGATTGGGGATCCCAGCCTCCAGATCTGTGAGAAGTATGTGTGTTGTTTATAAGCTACCCTATCTGTGGTCTTTCGTTGTAGCAGCCTGAATAGATGCAGACAAACAGCAGGCTCACAGGATGTCCATGACCCTGTACTTCCCAGCCAGAGAAGGCCTGGCCTCCTGGGCAGGGCCTCCTGGCTCTTCCTGGCTCCTCTCCTCTTCTCTCTCCCTAAGGCAGCCGTGGGCAAACTACAGCCCGGGGGCCGGATACGGCCCGTTTGAAATGAATAAAACTAAAAAAATAAAAAGACCGTACCCTTTTATGTAATGATGTTTACTTTGAATTTATATTAGCTCACACAAACACTCCATCCATGCTTTTGTTCCGGCCCTCCAGTCCAGTTTAAGAACCCATTGTGGTCCTCGAGTCAAAAAGTTTGCCCAGTCGAAACTGGTTTGGCTCAGTGGATAGAGCGTTGGCCTGCGGACTGAGGGGTCCCAGGTTCGATTCCGGTCAGGGGCATGTACCTGGGTTGCGGGCACATCCCTGGTAGGAGGTGTGCAGGAGGCAGCTGATCGATGTTTCTCTCTCATCGATGTTTCTACCTCTCTATCTCTCTCCCTTCCTCTCTGTAAAAAAATCAATAAAATATATTAAAAAAAAAATTTTGCCCACCCCTGCCCTAAAGCCATAAAGAACTCAGTTCAACCTGAGTAATCCAAAGGCCATAACTCCTTCTTTTTTATTTCCTCAGGATTTTATCATTCAGAACCTGAATAAAAGCAAAGAGTATTATGTGGGGCTGTCAGACCCAGAGGGTAACAGAGACTGGCAATGGGTTGATCAGACACCATACAATGCAAATGCCACGTGAGTATAGAATTTGATCAAGGAATTCTGAGTCCTGGATCATCAGGTGTTTTAGAGTGTCCAAAGTATCGGGTTTGAAAATAAAATAGCTCAGGCTTCTTGTAACTCTTGGCACTAAGTTAAATAATTTTATTTATTATCCCATCGAATCAACACAAGAACCCTATGGAGCACAGATTATTAATTTTTCATTGTAGAGCTGAGGAAACTGAGTTTAGAGAGTTTAGATAACTCAGCATATGTTATCTGGCACTGGTGACAATGGTCCTTAAACCCAGGTCTATTTGATACCAAAGTGTGTATATTTTATTTTTAAATCCCCCCTCCTCCTTAAGTATGTTTGCATTGATTTCTGAGAGAGGAAGGGAGAGGGACAGAGGGACAGAGGGACAGAAACATCAATGATGAGAATCATTGATTGGCTGCCTCCCGCATATCCACAATGGCAACCAAGCCCACAACCCAGGCATGTGCCCTGACTGGGAACTGAACTGTGATCCTGGTTCATGGGTTGATGCTCAACCACTGAGCCATACCAGTTGGGCCAAAATCTGTGTTTTGACCACACATCTTTATCTCTAAATAAACACGTAGTCATGGTAATTAAAATCACACCCAATTGTTAATACAGTAGGTCGTTGGGTTACGCCAGAGATCCATTCCTACTGCTCGACTTAATGTGATTTTAGCTGTAAATGGGAACCCACCTACATAAGCACCTACGTCGCTCACATGGAGCACATACACAGCAGTAATGAAGTGAAACAGTAAAAAACATTTAAAATAAAGATAACAATTCCTGACCTTTACTTGTGGCAAATAAATAACAAAAAACATAAAGCACATATGTATAAATATCGAAATGATGAAACTTTTTTCTTTTTACAAATAAATGGGAGATGGTGACATAACCCCAAAACGACTACATCGAGTCCACTGTAACCCGAGGACTGTCTGTATGTATTATGTCTCATAAAGCAAATGAACTAAATTCTGATAGTTTTACTATTTCCCATATTTGTGTAGGTCTTTTAAAATTCTTAAGCACTTTAGTACATTACTATTTTTTTAAAATTTATTTTTATATTTTTGTTAATACTCACCCAAGGATATTTTTCCATTATTTTTAGAGAGAGTGGAAAGGAGGGGGAGAGACAGTGAGAGAGAAACATTGATGTGAAAGATATATATTGGTTGCCTCCCGCACACGCCTGGCCCTGCACTGAGCCAAACCGGCCAGGGCAGTACATTACTATTTTTGATCCTTATATCAACTGCATGTAATATATAAGGATCTTACTCTATTCTTTATATTTTTAGATATGTAAATAAAGGAAATTAAATAACATGTCCAAGATAACAAGAATCAGAGCAGATTCATAGATTTTAACTATTTCTTTAGACTCCAAGCAGTTAGTTAGAAAAAAAAAAAAAAAAAAAAAAATACAT